TCATTCCACTACATAAAACACTCAAGTGAGATGCTGGTGCATCAGCTGTAGATTCTCTTTCAGGATGGTGGGATTTCACCCTTTCAAATGCATTATGTGATATGGAAAGGTATGAGGTAATGTGATTTGTTTCTGAAACCAGATACCTAAAAACTGTCAGCAAACAGAACTATGCCTCAAAACCTCATCAAGCAGGAGTGGGTTTGGGTTGTAACATGTTTTAATGCAATAATTCTTTGGAAGTCTGGGTGACCCAGATGAAATTTTCTCAGTGATGCTATTCATGTGCAAATTTATTTAGTAGGCTAGTAGGAACCAATTTAATGAAAGGATTTCTGGCCTCAGTATTTGAAATTGTGGTGTACCCGCGTAGTCAGAATGCATGCACAGCTGTGGATCACATCAACAGAGTGTAAAGCTAAAGTTGATGATGTGGTGTTTGTTCCACACATTCCATGTATGTACTTGATAAGATAAATAGTACTTTTTGTTTTTCTTTTCTAGTTTGTATATGCATGGCACCATCTGTAGGATTTGTTTGTGTTGTATATACATGTTGTGAAGGGCAAAACTGGAGCAAATATTTGTTTTCACAAGTTAAGGTCGTGCCATTCAGTAATAGAGGCAGCTTTGACAACTGATGCAGAGCAGCCTGATTCTAAATAAAATATAAATCTTGATTGTCTTTTGTTTGGAATAAAGCATGGGGTGGTTGTGATTATTGTCAGGTTATTGTGAAGGTATTATTAAAAAGAAAAATTGTTCCAGCTCTGGTGTGAATTTAAAGTTTGCCTGATATTCAAAAGCACTATTTGGCCTTGAAATACATGTAAAGCATGTGGAGCACATGCTGCTCTGGAATCTGTAAATACCAAGGTCTGGAAGCCTTATGGATCATTTTTTTATGAATGAGTTCTAAACTGAAAGCTTGTGACTTGGATTAAGTTTGTACTGCACTGAAATCAGTGAAATCACAAGTGATCAGGAGGGCAGAGATAAGAGGGAATGTCAAGTTGTTATTTAATCTGAATAGACCATCCAAATCTCCTGCGCCCTCCCAAATCACAAAGCTGTGGCTATAGCTGGTGCTAGTCTAGCCTTAGCTGATCGCCAAATAAAGGATTATGATAGATAGTTAATGGGTGTTCTAGATAGCATGGTTAAGGCAAAAAAGCATACTAGCAACAAGACACTAAGAAATAAGTGATGTAGCAGCATAAAGGTACTGAATGCATTTGTGTGTTGTAACAATGTCACATAAGC